AAACATAAATAATCATTATAAAGTTAAAAAGGGAGAGAATTAAATTGGAGAGAAGAGTGCGGAATGAAAAATGAAAACCATTCAGTCATACGCAGCTAAACAGAACCGGTTTTGAGCCTGGATTTAAACAGCGTCAAAGTATCTTCAGGAAGATTGTTTTCAGGTTTTAGCTGCATGAATCTGAAACGCTGACTCCCCGTGTTGTACTGTACAGAGATTTAGTAATATAACCACTTACTGATTAATATTATTAAAGGGGTGGACTGTAAAAACACAGAGGAGCTATTCTGGGTTGCAACTGAGGTTTAAGTGGACATATCATGAATTATTGTAGCTCTGATCTGTCATGTTTTTTAAGAATTTTGTTTCATTCTGTATCAAACCTGAGTTCTTCTCTCAAACAGAAACCACTCTATTCCACCTTGTGATGTCATGTGGTAATACAGGAATAGCTCTATTGGGTTTTTAAACTCCATACACCTTCACTAGAATTACTTGAATAATTTCAGCTCTGGAATCGCCAATCTCTACTGAACTAAAGGTAAAATGTAGCTGTTAACTTGAAAACTTGGAAAACACAGACTAAAAATAAAGAATTACATGTGCGAATGAAACAAAACACAACCCCAGGTGGGTTTTTGATGAGGTAACAGCATTATCACATGGTTCAAAGCTCACGAGAGACAATTTTGCGTATAATGTAGGACTTTTAATTACCTTTGTTTGATCTGCCGTTTTATTAGGCACATTGAACATGGAAAAATTAAAGTGATTTTATATGAGGACAACCTTGTATTTAGGATTAATGAAGCAAGTGTAAATGACGCAACATTTAAAAACATGGATGTAAAGCTCAAAAAAAGTGAATTTCGCGTGATGTGTTCCTCAGTCCTCAAGATTTTGTTGTTTGAGTAGCCTAATATTTGTTTCTATCTCCCTTTTTATCCAGTGAGATGGTAAGAGGGAGTGAATCTGTGCACATTAAAAGCCTAAAGCACCATCACCAGACTCATTTTGATCATTTAATTAATTCATTAATTTGTTAGTTTATTTATTTATTTATTTGTAGTTTTACATAGATTAACAATTCAGTCATTCAGTAAGCAATAAATATAGTGAATGTATCAAGAGAATCAAATATTAAAAGAATAAAATAAAAAATGGAGGATCGAGGAAAGGAATCAAGGAGAAGGAAGCGAGGAAAGAGAATTGAGACGCTGCCCTAGTCTGTTTTTTAAAGGTGTACAGTCTGGTCTTTATCTTTAGTCTTTATGTGAGCAGGTAAAGAATTCGGAAGTTTATCTCCTTTCACCGAGAAGAAAAAAGTCTGCACGAAAGAAGTCTGCGCTGTACCTTGAGGACAGTCTTTTTACAGATTTACAGAATGGTTTCGAAGCTAGTCCATTTGAACATTTAAAGATGAATTTTGCATATCTAAAATGACAAATGCACAACAGTTGCTTCACTCCACATTGTCGGTACAGTCCTTGCGCCCTCTCCTGGTGTTTTGTGTTTGCAGTGCTGAACGAATGCAGACTGAAATGCCAATGATGAGGCTGCCATGTGAGTCACGCTTATAATCAGACTAAATATTATGTTATATTTAAATACTCATAAAAGCCTATTTGGCAGGATGTTTCACTTCTATTAAACCTGAGCGGTGCCTCCAGATATAAAGTATTAGTGGAAACCTGTTATGGTGATCAGTACTCGGCTGTAGCACCACTGTTATGTCTCTCACAGCCAAATAAATCAATCGGATCGAGGTCATTTACTGCAGCATACAACACACTGTCAACGCTCGGGCACGCAGTTCTCACATTGTGGGGAAAGGCCTGTATACGCACTCATATGTCGCACTTATAAGGACAAAAATCAATCCTCCTGTGATCTAAATGCTTTATTATTAAATTATATAAGTGCATATGTCAGGTTAGATTAAAATTGCTTAAATAAAATGGTTATATTTATGAATTTACTGTAAATTCAGTTTACAATTTTACTTCCAGGTTGGACATGGGCAGCAAATATGACATGTGTAGAGGTAATTCAATAGCTGTTACCTAGCAACTATAATGTTAATACCATAGACTGTATAATGAAGTGGACAAAGGGAGCGTAACGTCACACATAATGTGCGTCAAATGAAGCTCACAAGGCTAGAAGGAGCAAATTTGGAGCTCCTTATTATAAATACGAGTAGATTTATGTGTAAATTAGCGAAAGAAAAACACCAGGGTCATGTAGAGCGAGTTAATACGAACATTTTAAGACCAAAATGACGAGGCTCGCTGCAGCAGTTGCAGAGAGAGATGACAGTTTTTCAATAGAAATGAATTAGAGCTGGAAGTGTGCCCATGCTCACTTCCTATTTGAAACACAACTTATCTAATCATATATATAGTCTATGGTTAAATCGAGCTAAAAAAAATTTATAAAAATAAAAAATAAAGATCTAGATACTTCTCTAAATGTGTAAGGCTGCTAGAAAAACACCTTACTTGCACATAAATTGTACCTGAAAATGACACATGTTGTAGAGAGATGTAACAATATCCAAATCTCTCGATACTTTATCTTCACGATATGCATCTCACAGTACGATATTCATTGCGATATTTTGCAGAAGCTAACAAAATTATGAATATGCTACTTTTCTGTCATAATCCAAATCATTCAGTTTTAAACGCGCTTAATACCAGTTGTTTTATCGTGTACATTGGATTTAAACAGAGCAAAGGATCGTGGTCTATGTAGTTCTGTTTGTTTTTATAATGTTGCTGCACCAGAACAATGAATTTAAGCAAAGAAACTTGTAATTCGATATATTGTGATGGTCCACGATATTATTGTGAGACTTTTGACGATATTTTGGTTATTGTTACATCCCTAATATGTGTGTAAGTGTTAGTGACGTAATATTCGCCACAGGTACTTCCCCACATATGCTCTTTAAGGTTAGCCATCAGATTACAGGACAGGTCTACAGAAAAATATCCCAAATCGCATGGAAATCCAGCTTGTGTTTCTATTTGTGTGTGTGTGTGTGTCAGTCGATGTGTTTCCCTGATCCATTGTGACCTTAAAACAGGTGTGAGTTGATGTGTACAGATTACGGTTTAGCCCTCCCTGATTAAAAACGCCTTCATTTGTCATCATGGGTAATGGTTACTGTGGGGAAGAGGGTGATGGAGATGGCAATGATTTTGTCACTGTAACATATTAGTGTACACACGAAAAACAAATGGAGGAATCGGATGGAGGGAAGAACAAATAAAATAGTGATTTGATCGAAATGTTTTTAAGGACGCTGCAGAATAAACCTAAATGTGTTTACTTAAAGGTGCAATATATGACTTTCCTAATGGAGGGTCTTCCGTCTGCTTGTCTCCACGGAGATGTTATTGCTTTGCTTGAAATGTTCCACAGTATGGCATTAAATCAGGGGTCTCCAACAGTCTTCCTTTGGTGAGCTATACCTTTACAAAACAAAAAACACCAGAGAGCTACCAGTTTTAGCAATCGCAAGAAATTGAACAGATATAAGAAATAAGGCTGGGTATCATAAAAAGTTGCCGATATGATACATACATCGATACACAGGCCACGATACGATACATACCTCGATACAGTGAGCTTTCGATTTGATGTGATATATTTCAAATCGGTTTGTTACGGTTCAATAAAAATAATGGCTAAATCATGGCTGTGATACAAAAAGTCTTTGTTAAACCACTTCTTGTGCAAAGTTAATCTGAAACACAAACATTTTAATCATCAAAACAGTGAAAATGTCAAACAAACAACAAAACTGTTAGCCAGTCTGGCGCCACCTAGTGCCTCTGCTCAATTTTATTTCTCTCCAGCAACTAGGTCAGGAATCAAAATGCAATAAACGATTTGCAAAAACCCCAGAAGTGCAAGTTCGGGCACCAGCCAATCAGCAAAAGGCCATGTATTCAGTGTTGTTAATGATTCCCGAGATCGAGGATTTAAAGCCAGAACAAGAGAATGTTTGATGAATTTTAATCAAGGGGAAAAACATTATTGCCCTTCTTCCTATGTGATTTGAAAAAGCTTAATACACCATTAAGAACCGTTAGCGGCGCATTACATATGTTACTACCAAATAGCAGCGATTGGTTAAATGATAGAAAGTACTCGCCTACAGAACGAATTCTAACACTGCAAGGTCAGACGGTTTCTACGAAGTGAAACAAAGTGAAACCGATTCATGAATCAGGCTACAACACTGTAGCTCTGTAACAAAATAATTTTGAAAAATATACCCAAAAATACTCTTTGCGATATATCAATACAGCAGCTCACTTTATTGATACTGTATCATCACATTAAACGTTACGATATATCGATATTTCAAAATTTTTGCACACCCCTAATAAGAAAGAGGCAAGCCATAAATGGACTTCAGTTAGCAGTCTGTAAAACATAAACCATTGTCTATTTATTATATGCACAAAGTTAGGCGTCAAAATGATATATTTTTCAGTAGTAATAGGCATTTAAATTAATCAAATTGCAGTTATTAGTAAAATACGTATCAATTCAGAAATCCCTTGACGAGCTACAGGTTGGAGACTCCTGATTTAAACTGATCTACCTTTTATTTTTTTTCTTTTGCATGTGTTTTTACTGCAAACTGTACTGTAGCATCGCCTGCTTTCACTTGAGATTTAGCGTCATACTGTGGAACATTCTAGGCAAAGCTATCTGCATGGAGACAGCGGGTGGCGCGCACTCCACCACAAAAGTTGCATAATGCTTTTCTAATTACATTACGATACTAAAAATGCGAACAAATGTAAGCCGAAAGATGTAAGAGCGGATTTTTTTATTTATGAGTTTTATTTTTGTTCATTTCGGATTCAATTTAAATCCATTTGCCCTCAGATATTTCGATCTTTTTTCGGAAACAGTGATGAGCAGCGGTTTTGACCCCTCCTCCCTCCTCTCCCTCTCTCGCCTCTCTCTGTACTCAGCCTCTGCGAGCGTTCACAGCGCACAGGAGAAGGAGGAAGCGCGGTGAAAGCAGCGGTTTGACGGGACCAGTCAGGCAGCGAACTGCACCGCTACAACCTTTCCGAAACTCCCCCTGCAAGTACGCGCTGTTTCCCGGGTCACCTGCGCCGCAACCCCGCGCGCCTCCCCACGGAACCACGAGCGGATAAGCGGTTCGAGAGAGCGAGGAGCGTGCGCAAAGTTCGCCGGAGAGTGAGTGTTATCGCTTGCACAGGTAGTTGTCCACAGTCCGAGCATGGCAGACTCCGCGGCGGGCAACAGCGACGGCGAGGACGGACCGCAGCAGCCGGCGAGGGGCTTCGCGCGCCAAGGTGCCCTGCGTCAGAAGAACGTGCACGAGGTGAAGGACCACAAGTTCATCGCGCGGTTCTTCAAGCAGCCCACGTTCTGCAGCCATTGCACGGACTTCATCTGGTGAGCGCGGGGCTGCGGGGCACTGGGGTTAGCTGATGCAGACAGTGCAATGTGGCAACAAGTACGGCCATGTAGTTCTTCTTTTTTTTTTTTTGCACTTAATAAAAATGGACGTGCACCTCAGAAAATAAGACGTATTCAGCGAACGATCAAAGAAAATGCTCAAATCTTTTACTTAGTTTTGTCCATTTCGGTTTTATGCACAATTATTTAGCAGAACTTAAAGCTGCACTATGTAACTTTTCTCCTCGAGTGCCTACCATGTTATTGCTTTGATTGTAATGCTCATTTATTCAATAGCAGGTGTTTTTATTGCCAACAAATACCCTGACAAACCTGTATTTTTCATGCTATGAGCGCCGGGGTCACCTTTGCACAGATCAGACACGTACAATGGTGAGCTGAAGGCACCTGCTTGTCGCCGTGGAGATAGAAAAGTTTAATGTCATACTGTGAAACATTCCAGGCAAAGCATTAACATCTACATGAAAGCAGCAAGTGGCACTAGAAAAGTTACATAGTGCATTTTTAAGGGGTTCTCCTGTAATGTTCTTCATAAAATGATCCAAAATAAATCAATATTAAATGCAGGGATGCATCTGGAATCGGATATTGGCACTAAAATGGAAAAGTATGAGGGGCCACAGGATATCAGTTCAGTCAAAGTCTTATTTTGGCACACACATTGGTGTAATAAGCCAATTTACTTATGAATATTGGTCCAAAACACCTTAGAATATTGCACTTTTATATTTGCAAATCTGTTCTGTAGCTACTCTAAATGATAAATAAGTTAGAAAACACATTTGGATAATTGAGTGAGGAAATGAATAATATTTTCCATCTCTCTTCTGATAAAAAGCTGCATCAGTGCATCCCAATGAAATGTACATAAATATCTCCCCATGTTTTATATTCTTACATTTTAACATGGCTCAGCAGTACCTTGAAACTACTGACAAAACATCAACACAGAGTGACCAGCGCGCAAGAAAGCCCTGGCCTTATTGTAGGGCATAAATAGTGGTCAACCAGTTTCTACACTTAGCATTGAAACTGCATAAGACCCGTGTTCCTTTTTGTACCCGCACTGACATTTGTGGCCTCTCTTTGTGCTTCCAACTCCACCTGCTGAGCTCTCTGCGCCGCGAAACAGCCTGTCTCCCCGCTTATATTAAATGAGTTTCCGGTGCGGGGGTTTGGCCTAATTTGATCCTTTTATTATTATCTGGCGTGCACTATTCCCAAAATGGTCTTATTTAAGTCCTGCATTGGGCTTTTTAATTTGTGAATTGCTAAACGGTTTGACCTGAAAGGGCCTGCGTGTGAATAACATGTAATCCTTATGGGCTATACTATAAATGACCCCAAATAATGAATAATGTGCACTCTATGTAATAGCCTGACCTGCTTAGACGGTCAATGTGCATACTCAAAAAAAGGAATTGCTATTTTTACTTAATTAACTGTGTTTGTGATAATAGATTGTCCACAAAATCAGAACCAGTCACCAGATTTTTATATCAGATGCCCCGCCTGTCATAACCTGCCAACCATATTACTGTGAATGGGCGATGAGAGTGACAGTAGCTATTATTACTTTGTTTAAAATGTTCCACAGTATGGCATTAAACTTATCTATCGTCATTAGGGCTGGGTATCATTAAGAAGTTGCCGATTCAATACATGCGTCGATACATAGGCCACTATACGATACATATCTCGAAACAGTAACCGATACGATTCGATAAGGCTCAATAAAAAGTTATGTCTAAATCATGGCTGTGGTACTAAAAGTCTTTGTTAAACCACTTCTTGTGCAAAATTAATATGAAACACACCCATTTTAATCATAAAAATTGTAAAAATGTCAAATGTGTTGCATAAATGACTTCCTTCTACTAAACAAGCAACAAAACTGCAGCACTGTATCAAAATAATTTAGTAAAATATACCAAAAAATACTCTTGGTGATATAGTGATGATACAGCAGTCCACAATGTCGATAGTGTATCATCACATTAAACAATACGATATATATCAATATTTTGATATTTTTGCACAACCCTAATGTTCATGAACTAGGTAACCCCACAACACCAAGTCAGAGGTCAGATCTGTGGAGAGGCGTCACCGCTCACTGTAAAAAAAAAAAACATATATTAGGTATTTTTGACAACTAAAAATGTCTGTAATTAAATGAATGCAAGATAGAAGAATATTCAAGACAAACCAATGTCTTCTCCAAGGGGACAGCTGGACATACCTTCCCCCTTTAAAAAGTTAAATAGTCCATCTTTAAGACAGAGTTTTTAACCCCAGGAAGATTAACTTATGGGGGTCCTTACAAAGAATTAAATAAACATTAACAATGGCTGTGGTTAATACACAGCAAAATGTGATCACGCTTACATCACAAACAAGGGCGATGTTTGGAAACATGCGATGACAACTTCAGTCGGGCTCTGTTTGCAGTAGTAAGTCTGACAAAATCTAGAAAAAATGAGAAAATTGCCCAGGTTTCTCCATCAACATGTCATTGTAGTGTTCAATCATGTTTGGCGAATCAACAATTACAACCATACCTCAGTTTTCATCATTTCCCCACTGACACAAACTCTGAGCGCACTGGGTACATGCGATTAGAAGAAATGAGGGTGCCAAATTATAGCACATACATATGCAGTTTTCATGGGTTTTAGATGGTCAGTGAGTTCAGTGTCGGTAGCTACTCCAGAAGTTATCATCACATGTTTCCAAAATGTCTTCTGGTTTGTAACGTAAGCATGAGCCTATTGTCTGAATTCTGGACATTTAATATTATACGCAAGGTTAGGGTTACAATATTTCTTTGTTAAAATGCTATTTGTTAATATGAAATACTTCTGTTTTACTCCTCAACACTCATAAATTTTTTATTTTATTTGACCTTTATTCAACTAAGAATGTCCCGCTAAGATTAAGAATCTCTCTTTCAGGGGAGTCCTGGCCTCACAGGGCAGAGGATCCCCTGTGTGTTTTTAGTGGTAGGGGAAACCGGAGCACTTGGAGGAAACCTATGCAGTCACAGAATTCTAATACTTTCCATGCAATTTGGAATAATTTTCTGGAGACCTATTTTGTAATCTGAACCACATACTATTTGACTAACCTTAAAGAGCATATGTGGGGAACTACCTGTGGCGAATATTATGTCATTAACACTTACACACATACTAGGAATGTAACAATAAAACCGAAATATCATGATATCGTATCGTCATAGTTCTCACAATAATATCGTGGACCATCACAATATATTGAATTACAAGTCTCTTTGCTTGAATGAAGAGTTATGGTGCAGCAATAGCTAAAAAAAAAGACTACATATACCATGATCCTTTGCTCCATTTCAGTGCAGACTACAAAAAGAAATAATAGTTCTAAGCACTTTTAAGTCTTAGTTATTTGGATTAAATCTTGTCAAGGCATTTTAAGAGGAAAAAGTAGCATATTAACAGTTTGTTTGCCTCCAAAAAATATCGCAATAAATATCGTCCTGTGAGATTTGGATATTGTTACATCCCTAATCGTGAGCTTTCCCACGGTATCGCAATAAATATCGTACCGTAAGATTCATACTGTGAAAATATCATACCGAGAGATTGGATATCGTTACACCCCTATAAAATACCCCAAAACTACTTGTGGCGATATATTGATAGAGCAACCCATGATAACGATACTGTATCATCAAATTTAGTATCAAAATATATAGATATTTCACCCCTAATGCAAAGTGCAGAATCAGATGTGAGTAATCATTGGGGATTTCATTTGAATAAATTTAAAGCATGTCACTACATCCCGTTTATGGGCTCTGAAATTGAAACTATAATTCATGGCTGCTTGCTTTAACCAGCTCCACCACTGCTGTCCCTTATGGATGCGTCGAGAAGATGGCGCATATGTCAAAGAAATATATTGTCAAATCAATATGCAAATCAATGCTGTTTTTGCCTCGGCTCATTACAGCACATCACTCCATACATGCAAACGGGTGTGTCGCTGCTTCACATTGTGATCCTGTACTTTTATGGACCTTTTATTGACCCAGGTCTATTGTTCCAAAGCGAATCCAACTCTGCCCACTCCCCTCAGCAGGTGCGCTAGACTCTGTGTGATTTTTAATGTGTTCTTAGACCGAAAACCTCGGCACGGCGGGACTGTAGTGTCACGCCGCGTTTGACATTCCACTTTTATGCTAATCCCCCGAGGCAAAGGGGGGACTATTTTCTTTTCTCAGGAATCCTATGCATTATTGTGGCGGCGGAATATGTGTCCTCACCTGTGTTTTTTAACCTGTTTTCTATATGCTTTCTCTGCAGGGGTTTCGGCAAGCAGGGATTCCAGTGTCAAGGTAGGCGGATAAAAGGCACTCATTTACATCGGTACAGTATGCAATGTTCCGGAGATCACCAGCGCACTATGTCTTTCAGCTTTATTTTAGTGGCTCGTGTCCAAGGATTATGCAACCGAGCTCTTTGTCCCATTATGTTGTTCCCACATTATAAATTAGCAATTGTTTATCCACACATTGTTGGTAGTTTAAGGCATGCAGGCTTATATCTAGCAGGAGTTTGATTGACACCTTCAGTCATAAATTGTTAAAAGTGTCAAAAACATCACAAAAGCACAACTCAAAGAACGTTACTCTTACTTAATGATATGGTGGAGTGTTTTTGGCTTTTATTGCTCAGAAATGGGACTAAATGAGGACTAAATGAGGACTAAATGAGGACTAAATGAGGACTAAACAAGGACTAAACGAAGGACAGAACCAGGACTAAACTAGGACAGAACCAGGACTAAACTAAGGACAGAACCAGGTCTAAACCAGGTCTAAACCAGGACTGAACCAGGACAAAACCAAGAAAAAACCAGGACTGAACCAGGACTGAACCAGGACTGAACCAGAATTATACCAGGACAAAACTAAGAAAAAGCCTGGACTGAACCTGCACTGAACCTGGACTGAACCTGAACAGAACCTGGACAGAACCTGGACAGAACCAGGACTAAAGCCAGGACAGAACCAAGACTAAACCAAGACTAAACCAAGACTAAACCAAGACTAAATCAGGATACCATGGGACAGAACCTGGACAGAACCTGGACAGAACCTGGACAGAACCTGGACAGAACCGGGACAGAACCGGGACAGAACCGGGACAGAACCGGGACTGAACCGGGACTGAAACAGGACTGAACCAAATCTACTTCAGGACTAATGTTGTCATGATACTCAAATTTCAATCTCAATTTTGATACTAAGGATTAGACTTGATGCTCAGTACCAATTCTGATACCACAATGATAGTAAAAACACTCTTTATTTAGACAATGCAATGTGATTTACAACATTAAATCATAGAACTTTCTTTTATATTCCCATGTGGTTTTAAATCTTTGTAATCCCTCAGTGGTCCAGGTAGGTTCCAAAGTAGTCTGTGGGCGTATACTAGGCTTTGTGCTCTTATACTTGTTCTGATACAGCTCAAGATCGTTCTAAATCTATTGAGGAAAGGTTCATTTCTGTCCTGTGAATGTGACTTTTTTAGTATTGATACTTGGTCAAATAAGTATCTCATTTTCATACTAGTTTTTGTTTTGATTATCTGATTTTCGATACTTTTGACAACCCTCATCAGGCCTGAATCATACTAGGACCGAGCAACATAAACATAAAGCATGAATTTTTGAATATGAATTAGACTATGTTTATATGATGACGAAAGTGGCATCACGTTTTCACTTTTTATTCCGCGTTTAGACGAGCGTTTTCGGGAGGAAATCTGCATGCATACGGTGACGCAAAAGTGTGTGGAATTCAATTGGGTATGCATGCCAGGAGGCGAGGTGGCGATGTATGTGACATAAACGCGTACGCGACGTGAGCAGATCTGACCAGAGTTTTGCGTCTTGGACAGTGTAGACGGAAACTCTATGGCAAATCATATTCAACTTTTCAGATTTTTCCAAAAATGCCATCACCGTTTAAACAAAAGGCATTTCCGAGAAAATATTTTGTAGTTTTTATCCGCAAGCGTTCTCATGTAAACAAGCCCTAAAGGAATACAAACACAATTTACACCAAAATTTTAATAATTTTCACCAGATATTGTGAATCTATAAATTTCACTTGCTAAATTTTCCAGCCAGTTTAAAATAGCTCTGTTTTGATGCACTATTGACTTATTACAATGACAAAAGCATCAGATTTCATAGCATAGCATGAAACAAAAGAATTATGAAACGAATCTACTATCTATTGACTTCTCCGCACACACAATATTGCTGGATGTCCTGAGAGCCAAACATGAGCTGTCATAGATGCTTCTGTAAATATTGTAATCAAAGAAGCTGAAGTTGGGTGAAAAGCATGCAAAGTTTTCTAATTAATTTGACCAGGAAATGCAAAAAATGCAAAAATATGATTAATTTTAGATGGCAAAGATTCTCCCGTGTTGAAATGCTTGTTTGTTTGGATAGTTGGCATAGCTTACAAAGTCAATATTGATGCTGCTTTTTACACAGTCTGGTCTGTCACCACCCTGATGTTAAAATGAATCTTTGAGACGAAATGTTTTGCTTTAAATTTGAAAAAAAGACAGACATTTGTAAATACAGATGTTTTATGTAGGTTTAGGTGAAGTACTCGATTTTGTTGCTTAAGTAAAAATGCAGATACAAAGTGAAAGTATTGAAGTACCAATCTGAAAAGTACTTCACACAGATTATGAGAACTGTTTACTGCAAATACTGATCAAAACTATGCAGATTTTCTTCAGTTGCAATTCATTTCTCAGTTTTTCGAATGTTGTGTATTTATTTTTATTTGCTCAAAGCCAAAACCTGACCTCAAAACCTTTTCCACGAATGAGCAAAAAATGTGTAGTGGAACTGAAAGTACAAATATCTGCTCTTTAAATGTAGTAAAGCAAAATGAAAAGGTAAAAAATGAGTTAAAAACTACTAAAATCTGCTTTAAAATGTATAAAATTATAGATACCTAAATTTTTACCTTTTCCATGAATGAGGAAAAAATGTGTAGTGGAATAGAAAATACAGAAACCTGCTCTTAAATTAAGAAGTAAAAACTACTTAAAAACTACTAAAATCTACTTTAAAATGTATAAAATTATAGATACCTAAATTTCCATGAATGAGCAAAAAATGTGTAGTGGAGTAGAAATTACAGATATCTGCTCTTAAATGTAGTAAAGCAAAAATAAAAGGTAAAAAAACTTGAAAAGACTTGAAAACTACTAAAAGCTACTTTAAAATGTATAAAATTACAAATAATTAAATTTCTACGTTTTCTACAAAGGAGCCAAAAATGTGTAGTGGAACAGAAAATACAAATACCTCCTCTTAAATGTAGTAAAATAAATTTAAAAAGTAAACTACTTAAAAACTAGTAAAATCTACTTTAAAATGTATAAAATCATATATATACCTAAATTGCTACCTTTTCCATGAGTAAGCAAAACATGCGTAGTGGAATAGAAAGTACAAATACCTGCTCTTAAATATAGTAAAGCAAATTTATGTAAAATTTAAAAGTAAAAACTACTTGAAAACTACTAAAATCTACTTTAAAATGTGTAAAATTATAGATGCCTAAATTTCCACGAATGAGCACAAAATGTGTAGCAGAGTAGAAAGTACAGATACCTGCTCTTAAATGTAGTAAAGAAAATTCTAAAAGTAAAAACTACTACTAAAAGTACTAAAATCTACTTTAAAATGTATGAAATTACAGATACATGTAACAAAATTTCTACCTTTTCCATGAAAGAGCAAAAAATGTGTAGTGAAATCAAAAGTACAGATACCTGCTCTTAAATGTACTAAAGTAAATATAAAAAGTAAGACTACTTAAAAACGTCTAAAATTTACTGTAAAATGGATAAAATTATTGATACCTAAATTGTTTTAAGTACAGTACTTTTACTTTTGTGCCACAGGTTTTGAGCCAAGAATACATTTGCAAGTTGCTGTTGTAGATTTGTTATCTTGCTAAATAAAATTCATTGTCAATGTAGTTTTACTCCTAAATGTTCTCTTGTAAAAGTTAATTTCTTCCATAAAAATTTTAACGTTTGTTTAGCTTATGGGGCTCTGTTCTTTCATAGACAGTCATTATATTTACTACACGTTATATTTACGCACCATAAACTGCCTTTTATGCCTGCCATATAATTTTCATTATCTGGGCAGTTTCGCTCGGTAGTTGCTGATAAAAATAGACCTATGAAAGAGTTCACGTCCTTTGAGTTTATTATTTTTTTTTAATCAATTTTCAAAAAAGACTGTATTTTGTTCCTACTTGTATTAACAGCCAGCTGAGTGCGTCCAAGGATTTTTGTCTCCTAGCAACAGTGAAACATTGAGCATTCGGCCGGAGCCATCTATAAGCTGCTGGAGGCTGGACGCGTTCAGGCTGGCGCTGGTTTAGCTGTAATTAGCCCAGTGGTGCTAACAACAACTGTCTGTCTTACGCAGGGCTGGTATAGAGGATGCACATTTTGGTTTAGCTGTTTTTATTTTTGACTAAATTTAAAATACAAAAGCACAAACTGAATTTATAATAGTTGACTGAAAACTGAAACATGTGGACTAGTTTCTCTGTGCTTCTCTGTGTAAAACTTGGGTTATCTGTCCAATGATTCGGTTCAGTTTATACCCTGGTTGGGCCTTTAAAGGTGCACTGTGTAACTTTTTGGCGTGTCTTCGCTCAGTTTCATTTCTCTCCAGCGACTACGTCAGGAATCAGAATACACTAGACGGTTTGCAAGAACCCCAGAAGTTGTAGACCACACACCTGTACCTTTTGTGGTACAGCACAACAATAAACAAAGCGGTCGAGATGGATGTAGACGAAGCCATACATTCTGTGTTGGTAACAATTCCCGAGATCAGGGATTTAAAGTCGGAACAAAGAGAATGTTTGGTGAATTTTATCAAGGGGAAAGACGTTATTGCCCTTCTTTCTACGAGATTTGGAGCATTCCATATGTCACGACCAAACAGCAGTGATTGGTTAAATAAAAAATGTACCTGCTTGCCATTGAGCGAACGGATGCTAATGCTGCGAGGCCAGACGGTTTCCACGAAGTGAAACCGGCTGATGAATCAGGCTATCCGTCACCTGCTTGTTTCTATGCATGTCATTGCTCTGCCAGGAATGTTCCACAGTATGACTTGAAACAGTTCTACGGGTGATTTCATAGTTAAAAAAAGAAAAAACTACATTCTGACTGTGAGCAGGGTAGCTTCTCCACAGATCTGACCTGTCCCCATGATGATAAAAAAGGTTTAATATCATACTGTGAAACATTCCAAACAAAGCAATAA